TTTTATTTATTACATTTATTTATTGTGTGTGTATGTGGCCAGCTCAGCCCACCAGGGGGCGGGGCTGGCTGGCATGTGGTGCTGGGGATCGAACCACGGTCCCGGTGCTTTGCCAAGCTTGTTTCAAGTAGGTGCTTTAGACCACTGAGCCATCTCTCCAGCCCCTGCTTTTCTTTATTCTAATAAACTCTCTTCATCCTTTTCTCTGCAATTTTATTCTTCAACTTTGTGAGACAACAAACTTAGATTTACACAAAATTAACTGTTCTACCATCACTCAAAGGGCTGAAGTAGAAAGATTCTGAGTTGGGGCTGGTGAGATGGCTCAGTGGTCTAAAGCACCTACTTAGAACAAGCTTAGCAAAGCATGAAGACCACGGTTCAATCCCCCAGCACCACATGCCAGCCAGCCCTGCCCCCTGGTGGGCTGAGCTGGCCACACACACAAATAAATAAATAAATAAATAAAGCTTTAAAAAAAAAAAGAAAGATTCTGAGTTCAAGGCCAGGCTGGCCTACAGAGTGGGACTCTGCCAAAAGAAGGACGAGGGGAACGGGGGACGACAGACAAGGGGTGAGGGAGGGGAAGAGGAAAAAAGAGAGAGGGAGGAGAGGGGAAGGGAGAGAAGAGGGAAGGGGAGGGCAGCATAGCAAATAGCCCCACCCCTGCCAAGCCATCTGAGCATGGTAGAAACACTGTCCCTTATCCGTCTTTGTCCCCATTCTGAGTACACCTTTTTCTATAGACTGCAAAATGTGCACTCAATGTCCACCCCCCAAGTTGCACACACTCACCAGAGCAGCAAAGTATTCTGTCTCCGTCTCCTTCCCTCCTTGAGAGCGAATCACCTCAGTGACAGCAGCCAGAACCGCACAGATCTGCACACAACGAAGAGAGCGCCTGTGACATATCTTAAACCCAGTCCCACCTCAGGCAGCCTCTTCTCCTCCCTCCCTTAAAAACTGAATCCTTGCGAGGCTGAAAACAGGAGGATTACTACAAGTCTGATCTGTGTAGTGAGACCCTGTAGATCCTGTACTTAGTACATTAAAAAAAAAAAGTTGAAAAATTGATTCCTAAGGCCAGTCGGATAGCTCCGCAGACTAAGCATCTGCTTTGGCAAGTGCAGCAACCACGGTCTGATCCCTGTCCTGCATGCTGCCCTGGCCCCAGCCCCAACCCCAGCCCTAGGGCTTGCTGAGCAGGCGAATGAGTCTGGGCATGGTGGCACATGTCTGTAATCTCGGCGCAGGGGAGGCTGAAAACAGGAGGATCGCTGTAAGTCTGAACAGCATAGTGAGACCCTGTACCAAATACATAAATGAAAAATAAAGAAATAAATAAAACTTGATTCCTTGCGGGCTGGGGAGACAGCTTGACAGTCTGGCAGGTGCAAGGAGCGGGGTTTGATCTCCAGTACCACATGGGGTTCTGGGTACACTGTACTGGCCACTGAAACCGGGCAAGATAGTACATGCCTGTAATCCCAGTGCTGGGGAGACTGAGACAGGTGGATCACTAGGAGTCTAAAATGCTTAACAAGACCCTATACTAATTAAATATTTTTTTCTTTTTTATGTATTTAGTACAGGGTCTACAGGGTCTAGAAGGTCTCACTACACAAATCAGACTCGTAGTGATTCGCCTGGTTTTCAGCCTCCCAAGTGCTGGGACTACAGGGCTAGGCCACCACGCCCAGTCGCAATCTCCTGTCTCACCTGTCTCAGCGCGCCTGGGAGCAGGGCTGGCCCAGCACGCCGGGGATCGAACCCCGACCACTGAGCTCTGTCTAAGCAGACACTTTAGTCCACTAAATAAAATATTTTAAAAATTGATTCCTCAGCCTGGCATATAGCTCAGCAGCATAAGTGCCTGCCCAGCAAGTGCAAGGTCCTGAGAGTTTGAGCCCCATCCCCACCCCCAAAACTGATTCCTCATCCAGGTAAGACAAGAGAAGTGCAGACATGAGCTGGGACACACACTACAGGGCCTGGCATGGTGGTCACGCCTACAGTTCCAGCTATTTGGGAAGGTGACACAGGAGAACTGCTTGAGCTAGAGTTCTAGGCCAGCCTTTGCAACATAACAAGACCTTGTCTCTAGCCAGGCACAGTGACACACGCCTATAAAACTAACATTAGGGAGTTCAATCTCCAGTTCCATCCAAAAAAATTTTTTTATATTAGAGAGGCAGAGACAGGAAGATTACCATGAGTTTGAGGCCAGCCTGGGCTACATAGTTGAGTTCAAGGCCAGTCTGAACTATATAGTGAGACCCTGTATCAAAAAAACACAACACAGGGCTGGCCAAATAGCTCAGCAGATTAAAGCACCTGCAAGCAGGTACAGAGACCAGAGGTTCAATCCCTGGGCCTCCACACCAGCCCCAGCCCCCCCCGGGGGGGGGGGCACACGGAGACAGGGGATTTTGACTGGGGTTGTTGGCACACGCCTGTAATCCCAGCTTTTGGGAGGCTGTAAAGAGGCAGATCACTACAAAGTAGTGAGATCCTGAACATCCTGTAGACCCTTCCCTAAAATACAAAAAAATAAAAAGAATATCTCACTTAAAAAGATATCAATTACTGGGCCGGCAAGATATCTCAGTGGACTAAGCGCCTGCTTATGCAAGGGTAGGGACTGGGGTCCCAGCTCCCATACCACACACTGAGCAGGCTCCAGCCCCTGGGGGCACTGAGCCAGCCACCTAGACCAGCCTATAATTCCAGTGCTGAGGAGGCTGAAAACAGGATGATTGGGGCTGGGGAAACAGCTAAGTAGAATAAGTGCTTGCCGGGCAAGCACAAAGGCCTAAGTTCAATCCCCAGTTCCACCAAAAAAATAAACTAAAAAAAACCAAAAAAACAACGAACAGGAGATCACTGTAAGTCCAAGCTGCACTAAATACATTAAAAAAAAAGATACTGATTACATATATTGAAACACTACTTCAGATATAACAGAAAATATATGAAGATTACCTGTTTTCTTTTTACTTTTTAAAAGAGGTCTCCCTATACAGTTCAGATTGGCCTTGCACCCTTTCAAATTTTAACATTTTTCATTCAAACAATGAAAAATATAATCAAATACCTTTAAAATATAAGTAAAAAAGATCTTGCTCAATAAAACTGTTATTCACCATTACTTGATTCAGTAAGTATTCTTGAAACTATTCTAAGTAATAGTGAGCTCAGAATGGTGGTGCACATCAGTAATCCCAGCACTCTACTGGGAGGCTAAAGCAGGAGGATTGAAAGTTCAAAGCCAGTCTGCGCAAAAAGAGAAAATAAGAAAAACTGGAGATATAGCTCAGTGTGAAAACTCTGGGTTCAATTTCCCAGTATTACAAAAGACAGAGAGGCAGGCAGGCAGGCAGGCACAATAAAAGCACCGTTTTAGAACAATGGAGGAGGAGATAAATGCCTAGAAAATACTTCTACCCTTAGGTAGGGCCATAACACTTGAGCAGAATATACGTTCTTATAAAAGTGGAGAGCACGGGCCAGGGAGATGGCTCAGTGGGATAAGCGCTTCCCTGGCAAGCGCCAGGGCCTGAGTTCAATCCCTGGTTCCGCAAAAAAAAAAAAGGGGGGGTGGGGAGAACAGGGGCTGGGCACGATGGTTCACGTCCCTACTTTCAGCACTCCTGAAAGCTGAGGCAGTAGGATCTGGAGTTCAAAGACACAATGGACCACACTGGTAAGATCCTGTCTCAAACAGCAACAACAAAAATAAGTGGACAGTGAATCCCGCTTTAGGGGAGTAATATGTGGGAGACACAAAGGACAGGAGAGATGACACAGCATCCAAAAATACCAGCTGCTGTCACCAGAGCCAGAAGAGCATGAAATGCAAGCGCCGGCCCCTCCTCCTCCCGCGGCCTCCGAAGCCTCCCCCACCTCCTTGTGGGCAGCCGAGTTGGACTCCCAGAAGCGCTGCACTTTGCTGAAGGTGACGTTGGTGCAATCAGAGAGGCCGCTCAGGAAGGTGGCCGAGGACCTCTCCGTGAAAGCCAGCTCCTCGCCCTCCTCCACAGCCGACTGGGGGGCTTCGCTCTTGCCCAGGCGCAGGGACCCCGACTGCAGCTCGTTGTGCAGCCGCACCGCGTCAACCGTCAGCTCGCTCTTTCCTGGGAAGCAGACGCACAAAGGAAAGCCCCACTTTCGACCTAAACCTCTCTCTGGCCGAAGGGAGAGAACATCCCGGTGAAAGGACTCGACCCAGCCCGGGAGAGCAGCGCCCGGCGGGGCAGGCTTCCGCTCCCGGGGCCAGCGGCGTGCGGGCCGGCGCAGTCGGCCGCGACTGACTCTAGGCTCGGGCCGCGCCCCGCGACGGGCGCAGGGGGCCCCGGCAGCGCGCTCGGGCGCCGCAGCCCCGCGGGGAAGGCCCGCGCCGGCCCGTCCGCGCCCGGAAGCGCTCGCTACCTGACGGCCGGCTGAAGAAGCGGCTGCGCGCGGCCTGGCGGTGGCGGTAGGTGGCGGGGTTGCTGTCGCTGCTGTGGCCTTTCTTCCAGCGCTTCAACTTAGCCGAGGCACCGGACGGCAACTTGCCCGAGCGCCCCATGCTGCCGCCGCACTGACCCGGACACAACTTAAAAGTCCGGCCCTCTGACACTCGGAGACGCGCGTGAAATCCACGTGGGTCACCAGTCCGCTTCACTTCCTCTTCCTCGACGTCACTTCCGGAATCCCGTGCGTTACTATGACAAAGTAGTCAACATCCGGTTTCATGTTTCTTCTGCGCATCAAATAGCCGAGGAGCTCGGAGATCTGTTGCTAGGGGCCGCGGTTCTTCGCCGCAAGAATATAAAACTGCAGTTCTTTTTTTTTTTTTTTTTTATTTTTTGTTGGAACCGGGGATTGAACTTAGGCCCTTGCGCTTTCCAGGGAAGCACTTATTCCACTGAGCCATCTCCCCGGGCCCTGCAGTTCCTTTGCAAGTTAAAAAATGCATATTTATTAATTCAAGTCAATCCATTTTCAAAAACGAGGCATAGAAACAAATAGGACAGAGTTAGAACCTGTCTGGATCCACTGAAAAAATGAAAATGTTGTCTGCAGAGAGCAAAAAGCAGCTAATGGTTGGGGAAAAAAAGCAGGTAACGATGTTGTAGTATCGCTTTGCAAATTAAAACCACAATGCATCTCCACTATGCACATGTAGAAAGCTTAACAATACTAGTGTTTATTATTAGTTATTTTTGGTACCAGGGATCAAACTGAGGACCTTGCACTTGCCAGGCGGACGCTTATGCCTGCTGAGCTATCTCCCTGGTCCGACAACAATATTAGTGTTGATAAGGATGTGGAGCAACTGGCTTCATATGTTGCTGGTGAGAGTGTAAAATTGGTAACAACCACTTTGGAAAACTATATACAGTAGTTGTATCTACTAAAACTATATATATATATATATATATATATGCTCTAGTTACTCATTCATGGGTACACACTCAGCAGAGATGTTTACTTATATGTAAAGAGGAATAGGAATGTTATTTATTTATTTTTCTTTTTTTTTTTAATATTTTAGGGCATCTGATCTCAAACATTTTTTTTAATATTTATTTATTTTTTTATTTATTACATTTATTTATTGTGTGTGTGTGTGGCCAGCTCAGCCCACCAGGGGGCGGGTCTGGCTGGCATGTGGTGCTGGGGATTGAACCGCGGTCCCTGTGCTTTGCCAAGCTTGTTTCAAGTAGGTGCTTTAGACCACTGAGCCATCTCTCCAGCCCCTTTATTTTTCTTTTTGAGACGGGATCTTGCTATGCAGTTCAGGCTGGCCTGGAGCTCACTTTGCAGCCCAGGCTGGTCTTGCGCTCCCAACACTCTCCCTGCCTCAGCCTCCTGAGTGCTGGGATTACAGAAGTGTGCCACCAAGCCTGGCTATAAGAGAAAATCAAATTAATAGTCAAGTATTAGAAATGAACCAATGGGGCTGGCGAGATAGCTCAGCTGACTAAAGAACCTCCTTAGGCAGTCTTAGGCAAGAGCGGGGACCACAGGCTGTGCCGGCCCCACCCCCGGGCGGGCGGAGCAGGCCACAGAGTCTGGGCACTATAGTGGTGCACACCTGCAATCCCAGCCCTGGAGAGGCTGAAAAACAGGAGGCTCACCATGAGTCCAAGTTGTGTAGTGGGGACCGGTTACAACGAAAGAAAGAAAGAAAGAAAGAAAGAAAGAAAGAAAGAAAGAAAGAAAGAAGAGAGAGAGAGAGAACCAGTGTCTACAACAGTAGAATGGTTGGTGTGGGTGTAGTGGGGACCGGTTAGTGGGGACCAGTTACAACCAAAGAAAGAAAGAAAGAAAGAAAGAAAGAAAGAAAGAAAGAAAGAAAGAAAGAAAGAAGAGAGAGAAAAAACCAGTGTCTACAACAGTAGAATGGTTGGTGTGGGTAGAATGGTGTGATGGCACATACCTGTAAACCCAGCCTTAGGGTGTGGAAGCAAGAGGATCTCAAGTTCAAGGCCAGCTCTGGTAAAGCTCTGGTAATTTGGCAAGATGGTCTCAAAATAAAATATAAAAAGGGCTAAGGGGCTGAGGAGATAACTCAGTAGAATAAGCACTTGCCTGGCAAGCACAAAGGCCTGAGTTCAATCCCCAGTTCTGAAAAAAAAAAAAAAAAAAAAAAGTGCTGAAACTGTAGCTCCGTGGTAGAGTGCCCCTGGGTTTGCTTCCCAATATCTCATAACAAAAAACACTGGGAAGGCTGGGCATGATGGTGCAGCCTGATTGAACTCAGGCCTTGTGCTTGCCAGGCAGGCACTATGTCCCTGAGCTGTATCCCAGGGATTCTGAGTAACTATTTTAAAGATAGGAACACCCAATGTATTAATCATTGTTACTCTTACCATCTTTTTTTTTTTTTTTTTTTACTTAGGACAGGGTGGATGGGAGTATACAGGGTCTCATTATATAGATCTGACTCATAGTGATCCTCCTGTTTACAGCCTCCCAAATCCTGGGATTACAGACTAGCTCTACCATGCCTAGTCTCAATTGCTGTCTCAGCCTGTCCCAGGGGTTGAAAACCCAGCCCCGGCTTCTGTCTAAGCAGGAGCTTTAATCCACTGAGCTATTTGGCCGGCCCTTATTCTCATTATCTTGTTTTGAATTTTTTTAAATTTCTTTTCTCAGGGCTGGCGAGATAGCTCAGTGGTCTAAAGCGCCTACTTAGGCAAGAATGCAGGGACCTCAGTTCGATCCCCAGCACCACATGCCATGCCAACCCTGCCCACAGGGTGGGCTGAGCTGACCATTAAAAAGAAAGAAAGAAAGAAAGAAAGGAAACATTTATAAATAAATAAATAAATAAATTTCTTTTCTCTTTAAAATAAAATTTGAGGGCTGGGGAGACGGCTCAGTGGAATAAGCGCTTGCCTGGCAAGTGCAATGGCCTGTGTTCAATCCCCGGTTCCAAAAATAAATAAGTAAATAAAATAAAATTTGAAAGGCCGGCAGTGGCCAGGGGTTCGATCCCCAGGCCTGCCATGCAGGCTCCGCCCCCAGGATGTGATGAGATGGCAATTGAGACTGGAGATGGGGGCACATGCCTGTAATCCCAGCTCTAGGGAGGCTGTAAACAGGCGGATCACTATGAGTCCAATCTAGTAGTGAGACCCTGAACACCCTGTAGATCCTTCTCCCCCACCCAAAAAGAAGAAAATTCCTTTTAAGGGGCTGGGGAGATAGCTCAGTAGAATAAACGTTTGATAAGGCCAGGGAGATGGTTCAGTGGAATAAGCGCTTCCCTGGCAAGCACAAGGTTCAATCCCTGGTTCTGAAAAAAAAAAAAAATCAAAATCATTTAAAAAGGAAAATTTTTTTTCAAAGGCTGAGAGCGTAGATCCCTTGCCTAGCATGCAGGAGGGCCTGGATTCAATCCCAACTACTATGCAAGGGGCAGACAGCTGCTGTGAAAAATCGTCACTGTGCATAAGACAAAAGCCAGCAAGGACTGTGGGCCCAGCCCCTACAGCTTCCGGTGGGCCCCTTTCCTGACACAGGGTGAGGCTGGCCTGTGGGGCTCGAGGAACCGGAAAGAGTGGCCTGGCGCAGGAGATGGCTGCGGGGTAGAAACTACTGCAAGCAGGATGGAGCTAAGCCCCGGACTTAGGTGCCCGACCTCCGGTGGAAGGAGACAGAGAAAGTGCTGGGTTCGTCGTAACCTCAGGTTATATTTCATATCCATCCAAAAATATGAAATAGTAAACCCACTGGGCTATGGTGAGATTCAGTTTGAAAATGTGTGTCTTGCTGGGGATGTAGCTCAGCGGCACAGGCGCCTGCCTGGCAAGCACAAAGTCCTGAATTTGATTCCCAGTACAAGAAAGAAAAAGAAAGAAAGAAAGAAAGAAAGAAAGAAAGAAAGAAAGAAAGAAAGAAAGAAAGAAAGAAAGAAAGAAAGAGGGGAGATAGCTCAGTAGAATAAGCACCTGCCTGGCAAGCGCAGAGTCCTGAGTTCAATCCCCGGT